TTGTAGAAATAAATGTTTACGATTTTTTATCATAAAACTATTCATCCTGTAGTTGTATTGTTGCTTTCATATTAATACGTACCGTACATTCATACTAATTTAGTTTCAGTACACTAATAGAATATCTTTCATTATTAAAATATATTTGGCATGTTTCGCAAAACTTTTCCGTTTTGATCAACAAAATATATTTATCCTTCAACTTTTTATTAAATATTTTAGTTGTGTAACGCTTTATCAAGCTTGAAAATGAAGCCTACTTGATCTCCAGTATATATATATCGCATATTATTAATAGGGAAAATAATATATATCGCACATATTATTTTATTTCATACACATAATCGCATATAATCAGTAACTAAACATGAATAAAACATATTCGAGAATTTAAAGGTCAATTTCATAAGACAGAAGAAAAAATACAAAACATGGAATTACAAATTCAGGAATTAAAAATGGAAGAGGAACTTGTGCACTTCAAAATGGATTTTTTAATTAATAATTTTAATCTAGATAATGTAATTTTATATACATATCCTAGTTCGAAAAATATTTTTAAACAAGATATATGAAATTTTACGAAACACATTCTGAATCTAGATTCAGAACTTTTAGAAGATATCCTAGACATATTTCAATTAATTAATACAAAAAACTCTGTTATAAAATTATCGTTAAGGAACAACCAAATTCGCAATCTTTTTTCACCTCTTTCATCAAACGAAAACAAAAAAAAATTACTCGGTAAATGTCAAAATACGTCTGCAAATCTCAGCTGATTTCACAAAGGGTTCTCGAACAAGACGAAATAATCTTCCCTTCTAAAACAAAATCGTCAGGTTAAATTTGATAATGATATTTTGGTATTAGGTCAATATAAAATAACATACTGTATAGGGACTAAACAATTAGTAAATGCGAAAAATTTTTATCAATTCAATACAGAATTACACTACTTAAGTCCGATAAATTGCAAAGAATCGGTCTTACAATAAATACAACGAATAATCAAATGTTAGCAGTGATAAACTGGAATTGCCAGGGATTAAAGAATAAAATTTTATCAAACGACCTATTTCAGCTTAAACTTGAAACAGTTGATCATTGGAATAATAGAAACATGGATTACTCACGTACAGTTTTATAAATTAAATCTATTCAAAGACTACTTCATAGAAAATACTCTTGCTAGAACAACAACTGGACCAAGCCGGCCTAGTGGAGGAATATGCTTATTATTAAAAAAAAATTTATGTAAAATTCTTCAAATAAAAAAGACTGATAACCTTATAATGTTATTAATCGAAATGACTAAACCTAATTTTACTAATTTAAAAAATGAATTAATGATTGTGGCTGTTGCCTATATCCCACCAGACAGGACAAACAAACTAAAAGAAGTTTTCAAACGGGGAGATAAACTTCTTCCTAATAATTACCGACCAATAGCTCTTCTATCTACCTTAAAAAAATGTTTTACGGAAATTTTAGCAAAAGAATTTCAACAATGGACCAGTAAAATGGACTTAAAATCCAAATTTCAATACGCATTTGTAAGAAACAGAAATACAGAATCTGCGATATTTTTGCTGCTACAACTTGTAGAAAAAACGTAAGAAACTACAGGGTAGTTATAATTAAAGTTGCCCTACTCAGACCTGTATAGAGTCCGTTCTCGTTGACGTATTTTGATGAAACTTGGTATATACGTTATATGGACCATGGGGAAAAGAAAAATGCAAAAAAAAATGATTAGTTCAAATTTCTACCACTAGGTGAAAAAATAGCGCATGAAGAATAAGAAACACAAAATGGAAACACGCAAAAGGTTTTTATTCACGACATTTGTTCAATGTGTAATCCATTTGCGTCAATCACATGTCCAAATCGCCTCACAGCGTGTTCAACAGTAGCCCAATAGGTTTCTTGAGAAATTGCAGCAATATGGCCTGTTATGCTTGCTTTCAATTCAGGCAGAATCCGTATGGTTGTGGTGATATCTAAGATCGTGTCTATAGAAGAGGCATACGAACTCTGCCTGAATTGAAAGCAAGCATAACACTCCATATTACTGCAATTTCTTAACAAACCTATTGGGCTACTGTTGAACACACTGTAAGGCGATTTGAACATGTGATTGACGCAAATAGATTACACATTGAACAAATGTCGTGAATAAAAACCTTTTGCGTGTTTCCAATTTCACCTAGTGGTAGAAATTTCTTCATGCGCCATTTTTTCACCTAGTGGTAGAAATTTGAACTAATTATTTTTTTTGCATTTGGTGGTCCATATAACGTATATACCAAGTTTCATCAAAATACGTCAACGAGAACGGACTCTATACAGGTCTGAGTAGGGCAACTTTAATTATAACTACCCTGTATTTACAGCATTCAGAGATTTTGAAAAAGCTTTTGATACCACTTTTGATTCAAAATTTGAGAAAAAAAGGAGCAGGAGAAAAGTTTCCTATACAATGCTTAATTTAAGTTGTTTTCAGACTATAATACAGTACTAGTATCATTCAAAGAAAGAACATATCTCCTTCATTTAAAGTATGAAATTCTATAAGGCGATCCGCTTTCCCATGGACCTGTTTAATTTTTATTTGACTGGGATTGACTAATTCTTTACAAACTCTACAGATGGCATCGAAATTGCAAATAGACCTTTTCATTATATATTATTTGCAGATGACTTAGTTATTATCGCACCGACAAAAATTTCCCTGTAAAGAAAGAAAAATTAATCAACTTAATTTATTTTTTTTTAAATCGTTGCATCCATCAATTAACCCGAATGAAACAAAGATAATGATTTTTAAAAAATAATAATCAAATCTCAGAAAAAGAAACTAAATTGTATATAGAAAGTTTATCCGTTCAATTACTCAAATCGATTATTTAGGAGTGACCTTTGAATCGAACAGTAATTTTAAATCACACGTTATCAGATTAAATAACAAAGTGAAAGCAACAATTGATAATTTTCTATTTCTATGTTCAAGATTAAAAATCTCTAATATATGTTTACATATGAGATTATATAATTCTCTAATAAATTCAATTATATATTATGCAGGATCAATTTCTTATTTGGCCTGGAATGCTTTCATGTTTACTTTCTTCGAAGATTATATCAACTAGAGAGAACCTGCCTGGTTATGCTATTCGACATGAAACAAATCGACTCTGGTTCTTTCCAAACGCATAATAAAATTTTACTATCGAATAAAATTTAAAAGTGACGAAAATATAACTTTTTTACATCAAGAAATGTTAAAGAAAAGTAGAAGACACGAAATTAATCTACTATGGCAAATAAAGTTAAACAAAATTCTACAAACATTCGGTGTAAGTACCCTTTTCTTTGGGAATAATATTCACGATTGGAAATGCGGATTTATTTTATTACTAGATACTGCAATATCACAAAGTATTAATTAATTAATAAAGATCAAAATAGCTTATATCGATCCAAGTATCACTCATGGCATCCAAAAATACTAAAAATTCCTTCATTAAAACCATATACTGTATAAACTACCCATTGGGAATAAATGTTAAAAGATCAATAATTCAATTACGCTTAAATAAAAGTCCATTATTCATTGGAAATAAATATATAAATCTTTTAAATAAAAATTGTTATTGGTGTGACTCCAGCGACTTTTCAATCTTACACATAGGCCTACTGAAAGACTGTGAGAAATTTATTCAAATACGAAATTTATTTGGAATATCTCACATAATAAAGCAAAGTTCAAGTCAAGACTTTAGAGAAAACCTGAATAAATTTTCAAAGAAGAAGCTATACAACTTGTATAACTTTGTAATTAAAATTTATTGACATAAAAATTTATTTTATTTATTTATTTATTTGCTGAAAAATAATGTAGGCTAAGTTTCAGTGCCAATGTCAATAAAATGGGAGAAAATGCTACAGCTTTTAATTTAATTCTCAGCATTTCTCATAGATAGCCTCGATTGTAAGTCATGCGTGTATTTTCTTAAATAAAGCTGAATGTGCCCAGAGCTGCCAGCTGAGTACCGATTACCTCAGCTTGATGTTAACATAATATACCTGCTATTATTTGAAATTAATTGTAAAAAATAATTTTATAATATTATAGATTTAATCGAAATGATTGTTTATGTTAGTAATGTTCATCAGTATCAAATTACTGTTCTGAACAAACACGACTTTGATCTTAAGGTAGAAATTAACTCAAACATCAACACTAGTAAACTTAAGTTATATAAAGCCCTGTGGATTCAGATCAGTGAGGAAAATTCTGATCATGTAAAAATTAAAAACTGTAAATTGACTGATAGACTGAGAGATTACGATTGTTTTGAAGAAGGAGATAACTATTCATAAAATTAAAACAAAGGAACTTCCACCTCTTGACGTTCACAGCCGAATTTCTAAGGATAAAAACATGACATAATTCAAATGCTTCCCTACCTAGACAATGATATGCAAAGTTTTTCATGGACATATTTTACAAGAGTCATCAGGGTAAAATATAAGATAGAACATAAAGTTCACGTGGCACATTCAACTTTTTTAAAGAAAATATATTGTTGACGTCTTACATCTTTTTATAATCCTCAGTTTTTGCTTTTGTCTTTAAATGAAGAAATTTTTTAAAGCGTATTTTTGTTACGCTGTTTTAAATAGTTTACATTGCGTACAAAATTATTTCTGTACTATTCCAAATACAATATATTTTGTAAACAATAAAAATATGTCTTTCTGAAATTATTATTTTTTAGCACGTACTGTACTTGTACAGTACATCCTATTTTATGTTCAGCCTTCTATCTATTTTTAAAAAATCAGAATATTTATTAATTTAATTTTTAATAAAATATAAAAATTATATATTAATATTTCAAATACATTTTTAAAATATTTTTTTAGATTTTTACACAAATAATTAATATCCAATATTATTTTTTTAATCAAGGAATATTAATTTTTAAACTTACTTTTCAGCTTCATATCGTGTGGAATCATTCTTAATTCTTTAGAAAATAAAAGAAAATAATCAAAATTCAAGCAACTATATCAGCAAATACAACGTTATTTACACAAATAGCTTAATTTAATTTTGAAGAAAAACTAGTTTACTTTCTATTGAATTCAATACGTTAAAATTTTATAATGTATTCATAGTAGAACATGTTAAAATATGACAAATATTGACCTATTTAAACGTGAAAAACATCTATATTATTTAAACTTCATATAAAAAGCTTGCATTAGTTTATACATCTGTTTCGCAAACTGTTTCTATTAATTTCTCATATTTCCTGCGAGTCCCTGTAGAGCAGATGCAAAGAGGTGACAGAAACAGCAAAATAAACTCTGAAATTATTATATTTAATATAAATTTTCCTTATTTTAAAAATTTGTAAAAAAAAANAATAGTTAAAATATATTCTTTACAACTGGGTGCATAGGTAGACACTGGTCATCTTTAACATCACTCTTTATTTAGGAATATCAGGAATAAGACATTTAGTAAAGAGGTGCCCAGTGTTTACCTATGCACTCAGTTGTAAAGAATAATTAAAAGAAGACACGGTTTCGGAATAAGTCAAGTTAAAATATATTTACCTTTTAAGTATAAAATAATTTCCAATATAAATATCCTCAAAAGAAAACTATCATTTGCAATATACTTATCGCGGCTCCTCCTAACTTTTTCGTTACAGATGTAGAGAATGATTATCGACAGCTTATATCAGTAGTTCTACGATACTGAGTCTCTATTACTCATCAATATCACGTGTTCCATAAAATCTTACATAAGATTTACTGATAAATGGTATCAGCAGTTACCCTCACAATTATCTGTTTGCAATATTTTATTCGTTCAAATTTGTAATAAGTTTCAATCTTGTTGATTTCTTCATTATGGCAAACCAGTCTCAGGTGGGATTTTCGTACCGCCATAACGATACGAAAATATGACACGTCAATTCGAATTTGATCTATTTTTTCATGATTTTTAATGATTATTATGGTTAAAATTTCGTGTTTTGTAGATTTGTGATACTGACAGCAGTGAGATCTGAAAGTCCCATTGCATTCAAGACTATTGAAAGCCGGAAAGGGGCACCGACCGTCCGATACCTGTGCCTTTTGAAAGCCCATGGAGATAGTCACAACCACGGGCGTCCGCAGAGGAGACAAACGGCGCACTTGTCCTTCCTTAAATCGGATAAAAATTTTACAAGTTATATCGTAAAAGTGATTGAAGTATGCAAAACTATATTTTATAATTCACAGCATCTATTTCTAGTAACAAGCAGCTCACTATCATTAATTTTTCGGAGAAGTTATTCATACCGAAAGACGGCCTTGTTTATATACTTTCACTCTTTTACTCTAAATTCCACTGGATCCGCTACTGAAATGCGATCAAATGTGCACACACCGATGCGATTCCATTCGCCAACTTACCCTAAATATAACGAGTTCTTGTAAAACTTGTACATTATAGGCTAAGTGTTGTACTGTACCTTATAACTTGTGAATTTTATGAAAGAGCCCAGACAGATCTCGAAATGCATCCCTTCAAAATAACTTCTTAAACAGGTACAAAGTTTCTCGATTTTTTAGAGTTGCGACTTCATGACGTAACACGTATCATAAAATTATCGCTTGATTATCAGTGCTCGTGCGTACAATGTTTCATAAGAGTGGCTGTAGAAGAGCAACTGTCTTCGTTAGTCTCAAACGAGAGGTTTTCCTTGTGTCCGTCGTGAGCAGATAAATACAAGTGTCTTCTTTTATGTATTTTTCTACTTATGTGAACGTTTATACATAAATATACACAATTTCTTTATTTTATTGTAACTCAGTAGTTAAAAAGAGAGGGAAAGTGGATATACTCCAAAGGTATTGTTGACAAGAGTTGAGCGTTATGAAACGGTGATGGATGATTGATAAAAATCCAGGACGAATATACAACTAAATAAAAGAAAACTAAAATAAAAGAACTATGATTAAAATTTTAAAATAGCGCTGCAAAAGAAATAATAAAAGAGCATCTTCATAATTTTTCTTTTGTCACACACCTTAGGAACACAACAAATACACGGAGTTGACCATTTTGAGGTTCTTGTCCACCTCAATATGTAAAACTTGTTTTAAAAATCGTTATTTTGGCGGTAACACACACAAAAGAATATTCAGGTATAAAAGAGCTTCAAAATAAAGATTAATTCCACCAAGTAATATTGTTATGTTTCTTATATATGTGAAAAATGTCAAATTATCTACGAATTCTTACTTTTTGGAGTATTTCTTCTATTTTACAGAATTTTTAATCTTATTTGTTAATATAATATAATTAATTAATAATTCTTAAACATTTATTAATTAATTTTACAAATTATTTGTAAATAAATTAGAATTACTTATCTGAAATTTTTAAGTTATTATAAATATTTTATAAATAGTAGCAAAATATATGATTTTTGTAATTTGATTTAGGATTTTTAATTATTTATTTTATGAGTTTGGCGAATTTAGAACATTAAATATTAATAGCAAATATTTCTATCTTCTACAATGAAGATTATACTGTATTTTAACATTAAAGATAAAGTTAAATGATAAATATGCTAAAGAAACTTAAGAAAAAAAGTAAAAATTAAATATATCAACTTATTGCATATTTGAAATTAATTTAAAAATAAAAATCACATTTTACATCTACATAATTACCGGAATAATACTAAAAAAACACCTGGCATTGATATTTCTTTAAATGCTTATTAATCTCCTGTAACATGTTTAAAGGATCTTACATAATACCTCAGCTTGATGTTAACATAATATACCTGCTATTATTTGAAATTAATTGTAAAAAATAATTTTATAATATTATAGATTTAATCGAAATGATTGTTTATGTTAGTAATGTTCATCAGTATCAAATTACTGTTCTGAACAAACACGACTTTGATCTTAAGGTAGAAATTAACTCAAACATCAACACTAGTAAACTTAAGTTATATAAAGCCCTGTGGATTCAGATCAGTGAGGAAAATTCTGATCATGTAAAAATTAAAAACTGTAAATTGACTGATAGACTGAGAGATTACGATTGTTTTGAAGAAGGAGATAACTATTCATAAAATTAAAACAAAGGAACTTCCACCTCTTGACGTTCACAGCCGAATTTCTAAGGATAAAAACATGACATAATTCAAATGCTTCCCTACCTAGACAATGATATGCAAAGTTTTTCATGGACATATTACAAGAGTCATCAGGGTAAAATATAAGATAGAACATAAAGTTCACGTGGCACATTCAACTTTTTTAAAGAAAATATATTGTTGACGTCTTACATCTTTTTATAATCCTCAGTTTTTGCTTTTGTCTTTAAATGAAGAAATTTTTTAAAGCGTATTTTTGTTACGCTGTTTTAAATAGTTTACATTGCGTACAAAATTATTTCTGTACTATTCCAAATACAATATATTTTGTAAACAATAAAAATATGTCTTTCTGAAATTATTATTTTTTAGCACGTACTGTACTTGTACAGTACATCCTATTTTATGTTCAGCCTTCTATCTATTTTTAAAAAATCAGAATATTTATTAATTTAATTTTTAATAAAATATAAAAATTATATATTAATATTTCAAATACATTTTTAAAATATTTTTTTAGATTTTTACACAAATAATTAATATCCAATATTATTTTTTTAATCAAGGAATATTAATTTTTAAACTTACTTTTCAGCTTCATATCGTGTGGAATCATTCTTAATTCTTTAGAAAATAAAAGAAAATAATCAAAATTCAAGCAACTATATCAGCAAATACAACGTTATTTACACAAATAGCTTAATTTAATTTTGAAGAAAAACTAGTTTACTTTCTATTGAATTCAATACGTTAAAATTTTATAATGTATTCATAGTAGAACATGTTAAAATATGACAAATATTGACCTATTTAAACGTGAAAAACATCTATATTATTTAAACTTCATATAAAAAGCTTGCATTAGTTTATACATCTGTTTCGCAAACTGTTTCTATTAATTTCTCATATTTCCTGCGAGTCCCTGTAGAGCAGATGCAAAGAGGTGACAGAAACAGCAAAATAAACTCTGAAATTATTATATTTAATATAAATTTTCCTTATTTTAAAAATTTGTAAAAAAAAATAACAGCAGAAAATTTGAAAATTTAATGATAAAAATTNATTTTTATTTATAAAAATTTTAAACTATTTTTTTTATGCTTTTGATGAAAAGAATGATTTTTTTTTTCTTCTTTTCTTTACGACGCAGATTATGGCTTTGCTTCCCATCTGACAAAAATGACGTCATCTATGAGCTACTTAGTCACCAATGTTACCTTTGGGGGTGAATCACGCTTGAAATCCTCAGGGTATGAATGAAATGACAATAGAGTCATGCGTCGCATTGTTGAGTTAAAAAAAGCAAGAGCAGTAGCTTCCCATGGATTTTTATTCATTTTTCGTACTTCAATTCTAGACAATTTTAAATCTACTTAACGAAATTTAACGCTGAATGGCCAATAATTCATCTTTAAAAGACTTTATTCTCTATTATTCAATGATTTAAATTTAAAACTGACATTTTTATTTTAAAAATGTTATTCGTTCGTTAATTATATTAATCATATAATCGTTAAGAGTAGTTATATTTATTAAATTATTTAATTTTTTAAATGCAGTATAATTTAAATCGATCAGTTTTATATATTTTACTACTGATCACATCCACAGAGAAGTGAGATGATGGGGGAGCGGGTTATAAATTTTGGGCCTCCATCCCTTTGAAAGCCATAAAAATATATNAAATTATTCTTTAAATTTGATAATTCTATAAAAAATAAAAATAGGATTTAATTTTTAAAATACGAGTGGCCCAAAAGTCACTTGACCATGTGTTTTGCAAGTAATTCAGTAAATTTTTGCAAAAAAGCTAGCGATTTATGAAAATGTCGTAAAACATTATGGTTCATTCATTGAACAGTATCACATTTTGAATGTTTATTGTAGTTTGTAATTAATAATGTATGTGAATAAAATATCAATTCAGTCTTTAAAATGGTTAACTGACTTTTGCAACACCCAAAACATTTGGGTTCATCTTTCACGATTCATTTTAAAAAATAATGATGGTGATGATGATAAATAGATACATTTTCATAAAAGGTGTTTTTTTTAAATAACTTCAATTCAGTAGCATAGAAACCATAAAATTTATTAATATATCAGCTAATTCGGTTTGTATGGTTTTTATTATTAAAATTTCCATTTATATTAAATTATAATTTGATTTTATAGCTAAGTTAACATTGTTAAAATTAAAATTTAATGATAAAGTTTTTTTTATATACATTAAATATATCTATTGCTTTTGCTTTTACTTTCTGCTGTGACTCATTCCAATTCCCTCCTCTTTCCTGATCTAAATAAGTCTGCACTCACAGCAGAGCGGGGGAAAAGCATTTCCATTATCTCTACCTCGTTCTCTAAATAAGTAGAAGGCGTGAAAGGCATTCAGTTTCAATGTCATTCAACCAGAAAGACTATCATTTAAATCAATTTTTTTAATATATTTTTTTAAAAAAGAAATTCAGAATTCATAAATATGAATTTATTTTAATCAGTATTAATTCAATTCAATGAATTTATTCAATTGAAATAAATCAAATTAATTGAATTAAATAAGAAAATTTACAATTATATTATTAAAATTTTATAACAATAATAAATTTTAATTAAATTGAATAATATTTTATTTTTTTTAAATCAGTGCTGCTTTCTCATTGAATATTTTTTTTTAATAATGAAGTAATTTATTTAAAATAATCAAATGAAAAATTAGCATTTAAAAATTTGAATGATGGTAATATTATTAATTAATAATTTCATTACGTCGATTTTTAATTACAGTAAATTTTAAATTTGTTATTTATTTTAATAATTTGACTATATATTATATATAATAAACAGGAGTGTCCCAAAAATCTTGCCATTGTAAAGATTAAATTGCTGTCTTACTTAAATACTTTATTATTCAGAAATTTTACAAAAATTATTCAGAACAAACC